GGAACACACTGACAAGGGAGATCAGAGCAGCAAAGAGGAGCTACTCTGAAAAGCTGAAAGCTCAGGTTTCAGCTAACGACCCCTTGTCTGTGTGGGGAGCCTGAAAACCATCACTTGCTATAGAACCCCCCCGTTGTGGAGGACCTGAATGTGTTCTACAGCAGGGTTGACAATCAACACTTCCTCCCCACCTCAGATCCAGCAGCTGCTACCTCAACAATCACCACCCTTCCCTCGAGCCCCCCACCTCTAATGATCTGTGAAAAGGATGTGCGTGGCCTCTTTAAAAGACAAAAGATCAGAAAGGCTCCAGGCCCAGATGGTGTGACCCCCTCCTGCCCGAAAGTGTGCCCTGATCAGCTGGCTCCCATCTTCACATTCATCTTCCACAGGTCACTGGAGCTGTGTGAAGTCCCCTCCTGCTTCAAACGCTCCACCATCATCCTAGTCCCCAAGAAAACCTCCATCAGTGGACTGAACAACTACAGACCTGTCACCCTGACATCTGTAGTTATGAAGTGCTTTGAAAGACTGGTGTTGTCCCACCTGAAGGACATCGTAGACCCCCTGCTAGACGCCCTGCTTACAGACAGGAAGCAGCAGGTGAGGCTGGGCAAAACCACATCCAGCACCCAGACAATAAGCACAGGCGCCCCCCAGGGATCTGTGCTCTCCCCTCTGCTGTTCTCACTCTACACCAACAACTGTATCTCAAAGGGCCCGTCTGTCAAGCTCCTTAAGTTTGCTGATGATACAATGGTCATTGGTCTCATCCGAGACGGCGACGAGTCCGCCTACAGGTGGGAGGTTGAGCAGCTGGTCCTGTGGTGTAGCCACAACAAGCTGGAGCTGAACACACTCAAAACAGTGGAGATGACAGTGGATGTCAGGAAGAAATGGCAATAAAATCCTGTGATCAGCTTTGAAGCCAGATGTGTCAGCAGGACAGGTCCAGGATCGGGACCAGATGTGGTCAGTCTCTGTACTGGCACCTGGTGGCAGCTGTGGAAAACTACAATGATACAGACTTGTCTGTGGTGACTGAAGAGCTCTGTAAAACAATTGATTCATCTCAGAGGGAAGCTTCAAAGCTCCAGTGATGAAATTACATACCCCCCAGTAACCCTAGATAATTACAATAAAATGGTAAACTGACCACTCTAATAAGTGACTGTTTGTGTTGTGTAGATATGCTGAACGCAACATCCTCAGTCAGGAGTTTCACCTCGTAGCTCCGGACCAGTAAGTACTATTATCTGTTATATTCAGTTCACACACCTGTCAGTCATGTTGGTTGACAGCAGATTAATGTGTTTTGTTGGTGGGCGGGGCTTCAATTTGCATCAGCATCACTGAGTGGACAATTAAAGAGAAGGTTCTGAAAGATATTACCCAGTTCTTTCAACCAGGAACTCGGAGAGACGACGCTGTTAGGTTATTTTTTAGTTAGATAGATATTCAGAGATTTGTTGTCTAGGAATGTTTAGTGCAGACAGGGTGACTAGCTTAGGCTGTTAACTATTCAGCCTGCAGTGCAGACTGCAGGCACGTCAAGGTTACAGGAAAACTGCTGTTAGTGTCAACTGTAATGCTAGTCTTAATATTTGTCTTAATGTGTAAGGTTATGTCCAATTGTTTTAGATACACACCACGAAAACAACAGTCACGCACCTTGACTTTTCCTCATGTTTTGGCTAAACGATAGAGCAGCTGCAAAGCTTGCTTATCGGGTGGCGTCACGGTTTGACGCCCCTTGTAGCATGGGCTAGCCCAAAAATTATTAATATTATATAGGTTGTTGGGTCCAGACATCTTCAGCTTTTCTGCTGCCTGCAGGCAGAGGGGTGAGAGAGCTCTGGACGTGTCCTGTGAATTTTACCTGTGATCCTCTGAATAAACCAGCACGGTTATTTTTTATAAAATCTAAAGCAGTCTCTTTCGTCTCATTGAGAGTTCCTGGTTTGAAAGAACCGGATGAGGCTTTATAATGGTTTTAGCCCCATCCTACACAGGCCACGTCAAACCGTGACGGCACCTGATATGCCAGCTTGGCAGCTGAGCAGAGCAGTAGTCAAAACATGAAGAAAATAATGTGTGTGAATGTTGATTATGTGGTGTGTATCTAAAAACATACAGGACATTCAGGGACATGTCCGAACAGTAAGCCTCGGAAGATATTATGATTAAGATTACGGCTGAACATAGCAATAATAATAGCAATATTCATCCTGCCTGCAGATTCTTCAATCTAGTTGACCTTGGGGCCCACATGCAGCCTGCAGCAAGCTCATGACAATGAACTAAGCATTTAACAGCCTGAGCTAGACATCCTGTCTACCCTACACATTTCTAGACAACAAATCTCTAAATATCCATCTAATTAAGAAAATACCTAACAGTTCATAGTTTTCACCTTATCTAGATCACTGACATACTGTATATACTATGGACATGGTGTCACCACTTTCCTCCACTATGCAAAAAGGGAGCTTAAATATCACGACTATGGCAGCGGCCATCTTGCTTTTTTGCAACCAGTTTGTACGCAGTAGTGACTAGAAATGGAGTGACAGCATTGGACTGCCAATCACAGCTGTCAGATGAGCTGAAATACACCCCTTTTATATCAACAAATAACTTATTGAAAACAAGCTTACCAGAAAGCAGCAGTTACACTGACAGACAATGTCACAAACAGGAAAAAAAAAAAAGGTTTTCTAGAACATTTCACCTAGTCTTATGCCTCAGCGCCAGCGGCAGCTTTGGCCGGACACGATAGATAGATACTCAGTTGATATTTTCAAGTTGCCTGTCCGTCCTGTTCTTGTCAACATGGTATCTCAGGAACGCCTTGAGGGAATTTCTTCAAATTTGGTATAAACATCCACTTGGATTCCAGGATGAACTGATTAGATTTTGGTGGTCAGAGGTCACAGTGACCTCATATCTGTCCCATTCTTGTGAACATGGTAATACCTTACATTAAATTCCTTCTAGGCATGTGAGTCTAGACAGACAGTTGTGAGGCGGTAATTCTAGTTGTTACCTGGAAGGGTCTCAAAGCAGCTTCATTGCCACTCATGGTTGATTTCAGATTTTCCAGCTCTGAGCAAGTGCGCGGGTGAAGTTTTTCAGTTTGAACTCAGAACCAGTGCTGCTTGTGAAAGTGAGACACAGTCGACAGCAGCTGTCGACTGCGGAATGACACATTCATCTCTATTGACTTTTATTTGTATAGCACCAAATCACCACAAAAAAATCTCAGGGCACGTTACATAGTCAGGTCTAGACCGGATAAAAACACAAGCAGAATCTCATACATGTGCTGCCCTCTTGGCCCAGTCACTCTTGAAAAGGACGTCCATTTCAATGAACCCTGGATAGACATACACGTCAGCATACATGTTCGCTTATAACCACAACCTTTCCCCAAAGAACTAGAAAAAAATGTTTTGTTTAATTTAGTTAAATAGATAATTTAGTTTGTTTTGAAGCAAGAATTACCGTTTTGCCGTTAACATCAACTATGAGGCATTTGGTGTCCATATTTCATCTTCTGGTACCCTGTTAAAACGTTTTTAAGTGCGCTAATGCATTTTTAGGCAGCTATGCTAGCTGAACTTGTGCAGTGATCATGTACATGCTGTGCACGGGCTGAATTCTGTAACTAGGCCACGTGAGGTGGGGAATGTATGCACTCTCAAGGCATGCTTTGTATTGATTTTGTACAGTGAATTACATACTCAATAATGCCAGCTGGCACATCATTAAAACAACAATTAAGATATCATAGAGTCAGGGAAAAAATTATTTGAACCCCAGATGATTTTGTAAGTTTGCCCACTAGCAAAGAAATGATCAGTCTACAATTTCAATGGTAGGTTTATGTGAACAGTGAGAGACACAACAATAACAAAAAAAAAAATCCAGAAAAATGCATTGACACCCTGATCCTTCCTCTGGTGCCACCTTCAGCACTAACTTTATATGTGCAGCTCCACAGAAACAGGAAGTGGTTGCTCATATCTGCAGCCTGTAGGGGGTGCTGGCAGCTTTGTAGTCTGTTGTTCTGGTTGTTTTCTGACAAGGAATCTGTTTGGGTTTCAGTCTGAAGTACAATCAGCCCAGCATCGTCAGCGGGTGAGTAACATTCACTGTTGTTCATGAGTGTCTTGACGTTGTTGTTTGTTGATGACATCAGCATGTGTCTTTAACCACAGTCGGACCGACGTGGTGACGGTGACACCCTGGCTGGCTCCTGTCGTCTGGGAAGGAACCTTTGACCCGGTTTTGTTCGACAGCATCTACAAACAGAAGAACATCACCATTGCAGCCACTGTGTTTGCTGTAGGAAAGTGAGTCTGACATTTCCACACCACCTTGAGCACAGCATTTCTGCCTTGACCTTTGCCCTGGAGCTGAGCCCTCTGATTTCTCCACAGGTACATCATGTTCCTGAAAGAATTCCTGGAGACTGCAGAGAAGCACTTCTTCGTTGGTTTCAGGGTGCATGTTTTTGTATTCACCGACCGGCCGAATGAGCTGCCCCAAGTCAAGATGGCCGCTGGCAGACAGGTAAACAAAGGATACAAATAAAGAAACTGTTACAAGACAGAGTCGGGGCGGCCTCAACAGATTTCTTACAAATTAACCCACATATTTACCTTAACACAGTCATTCTTTCAGAGCGTAACGCTGTGTTTTATATCTAATGACTCCTCTAGCTGACGGCGTACCCGGTGCCCAGCTCCAAACGTTGGCAGGAGATCTCAGCTCGCAGGATGGAGTTCATCCAGGAACTGATAGAGAAGGAACTTCATAAATACGCTGACTACATCTTCTGTCTGGACGTCGACTCCAGGTTCCACAGCCGCTGGGGAACGGAGTCTCTGGGCGGACTGGTCGCTGTGGTCCATCCAGGTCAGTACACTGTCCTTCCTGTTCTCACCTCGACCCTCCAGCAGTAAGAAGACTGTGTGCTGCTTGGATGTGAAACATCTTCTATGGTTTATCTTCTTAAGTGAGAAGCTGGTGTCAGGGTACACAACTTCCCTGTTGGTGTAGTATTAGGTATTGATATTCATGAAATGACATGGAGTTCAGGTCTACAAGGAGCCAACTGGACTACATGACTCCATCTGTCCAGGTCATGTGTTGGCTGTGTGACATCCTTCCTGCCTGTGTCTGCAGGTTACTACAGAGCTGACCGAAGCGAGTTTCCTTACGAGCGGAGGCCAGAATCCAGAGCCTATGTGGCTCCTGGGGAGGGAGACTTCTACTACTGTGGGGGGGCGTTTGGAGGCCTCTTGCAGGAAGTACACCAGCTCGCCAAAACCTGCCATAGTAACTTCAAGGCTGACGCCACGGATGGCATCGAGGCTGCCTGGCAGGAGGAGAGTCACCTGAACAGGTAGGCAGAGGCCCATGTACAGTCTTATGCAAAAGTTTAGGCACCCCTTGATAAATAACAGATTTTGGTGATTTTTTATTTGAACAGATGTTAACACAGTTTCTCTTGGAAATGGAAAAAAATGCACAATATTTTCAGCAAACAGTGATGCATAGTTACTTCTTATGCCATAAATTGAACAAAAATAAAAAATAAAACCATTATTATGGCAAAGTGCAACCATGGGTTCCTCTAAGCAGCTGTGTAAGACCCTGAAAATGAAAGTTATTGATGCCCACAATGCAGGAGAAGGCTACAAGAAGATAGCAAAGCGTTGTCAGCTTGCAGTTTCCACAGTAAGAAATGTAATTAAGAGATGGCAGATCAGGGGAACTGTGGAGGTCAAGATGAGATCTGGAAGACCAAGAAAACTCTCGGACAGAACTGCTCGTATGCTGGTCAGAAAGACAAATCAAAACCCCCATTTGACTGCAAAAAACCTGCAGGAAGATTTAGCAGACTCAGGAGTGGTGGTGCACCGTTCCACTGTGCAGCGATGCTTGCACAGACAAGGCCTTCATGGAAGAGTCAGCAGAAGAAAACCTTATCTGCGTCCCCATCATAAAATCCAACGTCTGAAGTATGCAACAGGACATCTACAGAAGCCCGATGCGTTTTGGAAACAAGTGCTGTGGCCTGATGCAGTTAAAATAGAACTCTTTGGACACAATCAGCAAAGGCATGTTTGGAGAAAAAAAGGAGCAGCATTTCATGAAAAGAACACCTTGCCAACTATTAAGCATGGGGGTGGATCTATCATGCTCTGGGGTTGTGTTGCAGCCAGTGGCACAGGAAACATTGCACGGGTGGAGGGAAGAATGGATTCCACTAAATACCAGCACATTCTGGAAGCAAACATCACACCATCTGTAAAAAAGCTGAAGCTGAAAAGAGGATGGCTTCTACAACAGGACAATGATCCTAAACATACCTCGAAATCCACTATGGAATACCTCAAGAGACGCAGGCTGAAGGTTTTGGAATGGCCATCACAGTCCCCTGATTTAAACATCATTGGAAATTTGTGGGTAGATCTTAAAAGAGCTGTGCATGCAAGACGACCACAGAATATTACAGAACTAGAAGCCTTTTGCAAGGAAGAATGGGAGAAGATCCCAAGTACAAGAATTGAAAGACTTTTAGCTGGCTATGAAAAGTGTTTGCAAGCTGTGATATCTGCCAGAGGAGGTGTTACTAAGTACTGATTGTGTAGGGTGCCCAAACTTTTGCACCATGCCATAATAATGTTTTTATTTTTTATTTTTGTTCAATTTATGGCATAAGAAGTAACTATGCATCACTGTTTGCAGAAAATATTGTGCATTTTTTCCATTTCCAAGAGAAACTGTGTTAACATCTGTTCAAATAAAAAATCACCAAAATCTGTTATTTATCAAGGGGTGCCTAAACTTTTGCATAAGACTGTACATGTGTGGACCCTGGTTGTATCCTCTGAAGTCTGTACGTCCTGTTCCTGTGTGTTCAGGTACATGTGGATCAACAAGCCCAGTAAGGTTCTGTCACCCGAGTACCTCTGGCAGGATTTCAAAAACATAAACCCAGAAGTTAAGATCATCAGATTCTCTGGTGTCATCAAGAACTACGCTGCAATCCGACCCAATGTATGAGAGTCCAGTCTGGACTAGGCTGACCTCGACTGGACTAGAAGAGGGTGAAAGGGAAGACCTGCAACACCTGTTATACCTTTGGAACTGGGCCACACCTGTCTCTCATACTCAAGGCTTACACATGGTCCACCTCTTCACCTTATTTATAAATGTGGGTCCTCAGCTCGAGTGCTCACAGACCAGACCCTGCAGGTTTAGGACAGGTTCTCACGACTTCACCCAGTTTTAAGGTTTTGTTTAATAAAACATAAAGACATTTTAAATTATAAAGCTTTGGTGATGGTGCTGGATAAGACTTGAGGGTCACCTTGTCAAAGCTGCTGCTCACTACATTTTATTAAAATTGAAATGGGAGCTTGTTATACAGCTTGTTCCAGAACAGTAAGACAACCAATCAGTGACATCTGTGGGGTCTGTAGTAAAACCAACAAAAACAGGGCTAATACAGCCTTATAACTGATAAATAACACTGATCAATAAGTAAAGTTTACCAAGGATTAAAGTTGCATTAACTAACCTCTCCCTCTAATTTTCTACCATTAATATACATGATTTTTGTTTTGCTTAGTTAGTGATTTAAATTATGTTTAAAAGCATCATAATAAATAAATAAAAAATAACTAAAATAATTGGTGCAGAAGCAGAGCAAAGTAGTTCTGTCTAAATTACATCAAATGTAAACTTTTAACCACGTTACCGTGCCTTTGTTGGAGGTGCAATGAGCTAATGTTGGTTAGCTAACACTAGAAAGTCACTTTCTGCTTTTCCCGTGTAGGGGTCCCCACAGCGAATCGTCACACTGACGACTCGCATGTTGACATTTGGTACGTGTTTTACGCCGGATGCCCTTCCTGACGCAACCCTGATTCGAATCCGGGCCGCAGCGGCGAGAGCGCTGCGCCTTAACCACTAACCTACCAGGGACGGCCAGCTAACACTGACTTAGTAAAATGCCCATTCTCACAAGAAGCTAAAACCAAGTCCAGATGATTTTTTTTTTCTACGTTTTCATTTTAACAAATATTAGGGCCTTGTTTGTGCAGATTCTCAGTCATCCAGGCCATAGTAAGCCCCCTACCGAGGGGGATAAATATCTCCGGCTCAACACCAGTCAGTCAGAACTGATGAATCCTCTTGGATGAGAGGTGAAACGTCTTTGACCTAGAAATCTAGTCCAGTTGGTTTTTTTCTAAGTTTTTTCAGATTAGGGCCTTGTGTTTTGTAATGAAGAGACATCACCCAGTGCAGCAGTGTGTTTCGTTGATGTGTTTGTTTATGAACAACAATGGAGGTATGTGGCACAGACAAACAAGATAATCCAGGACTGATGCACATGAACAGTCAGTAGAGGCAATTCACTGTTAACTTTGGTCTGCGTGTGAGGACTGCTGAAAATGCTGTCAATACAGAAAATGACTGCTATGACTGCTGTGACTAGTTCCTGTGTGGAAAGAAGAAAAAGAGTGAGGATTTGGACTTGTAGCGCCCCCTCCAGGTCTGTTGCGGAGCATTACTCTAGGCCAGCTGTAAATTTTACTTTTGGGAGTTTTTTCTCATTTTCTTTTAAAAGCTCAAAATTACAGTTTTTATGTAGGTTCAGGTTCTGTTTGCCTGTTGGATTTGCAGGCGAGTTTCAGCTTAGGTACATTGGGTGACACAAACACTCGCGATCGCGGGTCCTTTCAGGAGTCTTCCCAGGTGTTTGTGTGTTTTGTTAATCAGAAAAACAAAGGTTCTGCTGCAGTAAAGTTTTCCTGTTGTGGATTAACTGAATCAAAACTCTTTATTTGTCCATCAAGCAGAAATCTGAGATGAATGAAGAGACATGAACAACTTATGTACACAAAAACAATCTGACAATACAAATATGAGCATGTTGGAGTTGAAATCCATGGGGGTTAATAGCAGTGAACTGTTCATAAAAACTGTGTCCAGCACCACAGAGGCTTATATTGTGTAAAACATGTTATCTGTCCAAACACAAAGGAGGGTGATTTATTTACTTTATTAATAATATACAACATATATGTGTTCATTTATTTACATAATTCGTATATTTCTCTAGCAGGCGTCAATGCTGTGATGTTACACAGGACAATCAATTCAGAGTGTTTTAAAAGCAGTTATTTGAATTTTAAGGCAAAGAGTACCAGTAATGGTAATAGGGCTCCGAGTAATACAGTACAGTGAAGAAACTAAGAGACTCGGTGAAGCTGAACACAGACGAGGAGGAAATGCCACGAGTCTGTTTTAATGCTGACAAAGGTTTGAGCAGAGTGTTGTGATCGTTGATATACAGCACAATATACTGTACGTTGTTCAGCACACCACCATCATATTTAATGCTTCAGGAATAAGATGCACTTTAAATGTGATGCATCTGATTGAGTGAATTCACATTAACACATTCAACTGAACTAAGTCACTTCAGCTGACCTAGTTCATTCAAAGCAGTTGCCATGTTTACTTTTATCTTGGCATGCAATATAAGCACCACCTCATAATGCCAAAAGCAAAAAAGTAAAAAAGACAAAATAATATATCTTACTAGTTTGAGAATGATTTTTTGTCAAAATGTTCATTAATATTCAATGAAAACAAATGTGACAAATGCAGAAAGTGGCAGCAGCACACAGTTATTAAAGCATGAGGTAGCAGGCAGGTAAAGGTCGAACCAGCTGGAATGATTGTTGCTACTCAGACAGAGCTGATCAGCAGTCAGTCTGTCAGTTCACCTGTCGAGCTGGGCTTGGACTGAATGGCCAGATTATCAGCCTCTGGTTTTCTCTACAGGTGTACTTGTACCTGAATATGAGGCGAGCGGGGTGCTGTCCTCCTGCACAGAGCTGTTGAGTACACATTGGACAGGTCTTTATCGATGTAACCGAGCTAAACGAGTTCACTTTATTAATAGTGCAAGCATTCAGTTGTGTTTTCATAGATTCTGCAGTGTATAAATACAGTATTTTTTATTTTTAATATCTCTCATGTAATTCACAGACGTCAGTCTCTGAGGCTGAGAAATGTTCCTCAAACAGCCACCACAGGCTGGCTCTAAAAAGGAGTCAGTCCCCACAGACTCCAATGTTAAAATTCCCACATTTACAGTAGAAATGAATGTTTACAGCCTGGTACAAAAACAGTTTTGGTCTCTGCTTAGAGTGACAGGCGGGAGGGTCCCGCCAGAAGCTGCGACTGAGCTTCACTCACACTCCACCTCTTTGCCCTTTAATAATAATATTAAACACCCTGTCTGCTGACAGTCATCAACTCTTCTCTCTAGTTATCCTTGACCAGATGTACCCTGTAGAAACTCATAAGCATGACTAAGCATTTAACAGTCTAACTAGACATCCTGTCTCCACTAAACATTTCTAATACATAAAGTATCTATCCAATTTCTATCTGACTAAAAATACCTAACCCTACAACTTCCTGGGTTTCTTGCCGGTAAACCCAGATCTGGGCCTATATTTGAGTTTAAAAAGCGTGCAACTGCGAAATATAAATATGCCATACGGTTTATTGTGAAAAATGAACAAAAGATGAGGTCGGACTCTATGGCGAAAAAACTCATAACGAACAATATGAAATCATTTTGGAAGGATGTCAAATACATTAACAACAGTAGATCCTCTGTACCTCATACTATTGATGGAATCTCTGATCCTGATAAGATAGCTGAGTTTTGGCGGCGTCATTACTGTGAGTTATTTAACTGTATTCCGAGTGAAACTTTTTTGGTGGGTGGGGTTGACTTTGTTGAATCTTTTAAAACCAGTGAAGTTTCCCAAGCAATAAGTCATCTGTCTGAAAATAAGGCTACTGGGCTGGACCACATCTCTGTTGAACATCTGAAGTATGCTACTCTCAGGTTGTCCCCTCTTCTAGCCATTTGCTTCACTGCCTCTGTTATGCAC